CAGTGGTGGAGCCTGCTTGGGATTCTGTCTCCCTCTCTCTCTGCCTCTCTCCTGTGTGCATGCGTTCTCTCTCAAAATAAATAAATAAACTTAAAAAAATATATAAACAAACTCCTTTCTTTCATTGAGGCATTTTCTAATATCTGAAAGCTTTCTGCACTTACTGATTAATTACATCAGCAGGAAGACTGTGCTCTCCACAGAGTTTTGTATAGACTTCTCGGTCTCTAGTTTAGTGCCATTACGGAATCTTTGGAGGGCCGTTTTGACTAAAATTTGAGTTTTTAGTAAATTTTGCATTAATATGCAATAGTCTAGATTTTTGGAGATGATATACATAAAATGGTAGGAATCTCAGGTTCCAGGGTGTCCCCATTTATTTTCAGATTTTTTTTTTTTTTCCAGCAGATGTTCTAAAATTATTTAGGAATGGGCCCCATGTCACAGATGAGGCAGGATCATTAAATGTCATTAAATTTTGAATAATCAGTTGGAGAAAAAAATGTTGAGGTTTGAATCTGTAGTGGTGAATACTGTGAAATGTTTAATTTGCTTTCTTGTGTTTATAGTGTCCTGCTGGAGCTCTCTAAAAATGTTGCTTTTGGCAGTAAATTCTTATTTTTCATACCATGAGATTCTTTCAGACTTTCATATAGGTCAGAATCTTCAGTGCAAACCGAGTTAATTTCTCTTGAATTTAAAATTTTAATAGGAGATTCTAAGCAAGAGAAAGATCAGCAATCCGTGTGAGATGTATCCCTGCTTTTTGGCAAGTGTTGGAAATTAAGCAGTGAGCTGGTGTGGTGTTAGAGTAGGTATAATTTAAGACTTGTAGTCAGAACCTGACTTACACATAGAGTGAAATTTTCTTTAAAAAATGTTTTTTTTGATCTTTATTTTTGAGAGAGAGAGAGAGAGAGAGAGAGAGAGGGAGAGAGAGGGGAACAGAGGGAGAGAGAGACACAGAATCCGAAGTAGGCTCCGGGCTCTGAGCTGTCAGCACAGAGTCCGATGCAGGACTTGAACTCACAAACTGCAAGTTCATGACCTGAGCCAGAGTTGGATGCTCAACTGACTGAGCCACCCCAGGCACACCCCAAGAGTGAAATTTTCTTGATCATGTTGTGTATCTTAAAGGATGCTGAATGATAACTTTGTCTCTGTGGAGTGCGTTATAGTTATTTGTGACATACTGAGAGGATACAGGATACATTTTAGCTGGATAAATGATGCTTGGATAGTGAAAGATCTTGCTCATCTTAAGGGATCCTATTCATTGTGTTTCCTTAATTGTAGCACTTGTGGGAGAAATAGAGGTAAGGTAGCCTACTTTTTGTTTATTGGACAGTTTCATTTCTGATTTTTTTTTTTTTTTTTTTGCTCTTGGGGAAGGGAAAAGAAAGATATGTAGCTTTGAAGGCATACCACAAATAAACGGACTGACCAACACTGCTTTGGACCCAGTATTCAAAAAGAATGGGTATATTTGTTACAATCCATCTGCGCAGAAGGTTGGTTACACATAACACATGTAGTGTAGCACATTGGAAATTCATGTAGATGCTCTTATTGGTGCTCAGGAATATAGAGTTGGATCTATATATTTTTTAATGTTTATTTATTTTGAGAGAGAGAGTGTGCATGAGCAGGGGAGGGGCGGAGAGAGAGGGAGAGAGAGAATTCCAAATGGGCTCCCCACTGTCGGCGCAGAGCCACATGTGGGGCTTGATGTCACAAACTGAGATCATGACCTGAGGTGAAATCAAGAGTCAGATGCTTAACTGAGCCACCCAGGCGCACCTTTTTTTTTTTTTTTTAATCCAAACTTACACGGATTGATTGCAGTGGCTGCATGACTAAAAACGAAGCCGTTTTTAGTCTTTGCTAGACTTAATTTTTTTGAAATATATTCATTCCATTTGAATAGGGAATAGAGCTAAGGAAAGGTGTATGAATAGCTGTATTTTTTTGTTTATTTATTTTTTAATGTTTATTTTTGACACAGAGAGAGACAGAGCATGAGCGGGGGAGGGGCAGAGAGCGAGGGAGACACAGAATCGGAAACAGGCTCCAGGCTCCGAGCTGTCAGCACAGAGCGCGACGCGGGGCTCGAACTCACGGACCGTGAGATCATGACCTGAGCTGAAGTTGAATGCTTAACTGACCGAGCCACCCAGGCGCCCCTGTACTTTTTTTTTTTTTTTTAAACAAGACTTGGCTAATTGTTTTGTCTTATTTTTTAAATTTATTTTTTGTTTTGTTGTTTTATTGGAGTTTTGATATGCGATGTGTCAAAGCTCCAGCCAGTGTTAAAGCTCAGGCAGTTTAGATAGAATTAAGGAGTTTGCTGATTTTGTTTTAAGCCCATTCTTTTCTTTTTAAAGCGTTTCCATGTCTGTAATTTTATATCATACATTGTAATTTAAGAAGTGAAAATTACACTTCTAAGTGCATACCTTTAAAGCCTTTGCTTCTGACCCTAGCAAATTGTTAGTCAGTATTCAGTAAATATTAGACATGCTAATGGTGATTTTATTTATTTGTAACCTCCTCCCTTTTCCCTTTTTGCTTAAGCTTCATTTAATCTCTGTATTGTCCTGAAGATACCTTTATTGTCTACTCACAGTGTATTGCTTTCTCAAGTGGCAATAGCAGTAATATCTTTAATTATTATGTTTTAGCTACCCTAAATTCTTGTCTTCTCTCTTAATGCTGGCAAAAAAAAAAACAGTTTTTACTGGCATAGAGAATATTTAACTTCCTTCCCCCCTCCCTCCCCTTAAAAATGTTTTTATTGTGGTAAAATATCCATAATATAGAATTTATTGTTTTAACCATTTTTAAGTTCATTGGCCACTAAGTACTTAAATGTTCTTTTAATACACAGGATTGCTGGGGCACCTGGGTGGCCCAGTCGGTTAAGTGTTTTGATTTCAGCTTAGGTCATGACCTCATGGCTTGAGGGTTCGAGCCCCGTGTGCCCCTGTGCTGGCAGTTCAGAGCCTGGAGCCTGCTTCGGATTCTGTGTCTCCCTCTCTCTCTGCCCCTCCCCTGCTCATGCACTCATTCTCTGTCTCTCTCTCAAAAATAAATAAACGTTAAAAAAAAATTAAAACAACAACAACACAGGATTGCTATAGCTCATTTTAAAATTTATTTATTTACTTATTTATTTTTGAGAGACAGAGAGAGAGACAGCAAGACAGCATGTGAACAGGGAAGGAGCAGAGAGAGAGAGAGAGAGAGACAGACACAGAATGCGAAGCAGGCTCCAGGCTCCAAGCTGTCAGTACAGAGCCTGATGCGGGGCTCAAACTCACGAACTGTGAGATCATGACCTGAGCCGAAGTGGGACGCTTAACCCACTGAGCCACCCAGATGCCCCTGCTGTAGCTCATTTTAGAAATTGGAATATTAAACCCAGTCTGGCAACTCCTCCCCTCCCTTCAGTTTTGGAAATGTGTATAGGTGTTTTTAAAAACTTTTTATCTAGAAATAATTTTTAAGCCTGCAGAACAGTTGTATAAATAGTACCAGGAGCCTCCTTTAACCAGATTTACAATTAGCTTTTTGCCCTATTTGCTTTATTATTCTCTTTCAATGTAGTATGCACATGAATTGTTTTTCCCTGAATTTTTTGAGAGTAAGTTGCATACACATAGCCATTTAGTCTTGAATAAGTATGTACTTCCTAAGAACGGAGATATTCTTGTATAATAGTAAATAGCTCCTGGAAATTTAACATTGATACAGTACTTGAATCCAACATCTATCTGTATTCCAACTTTGTTAGTTGAGCTGAGTCCAGTGTTTTTTGCTTTCAGTAATGGATCATGTATTGCATTTAGTTGTCATGTCTTTTTCGTTTCTTAATTTGGATCAGTTCTTCAGCCTTTTTGGTCTTTAATGGCATTATTTTTATAGAATACAGGCCCATCCCTCTCTCTCCTCCCCTTATAAAATGTTCCTCACTTTTGAGTTTGGTCTGTGTTTCCTCATGATTAGGTTCAGATTATGCAGTTTTGGTTGGAATAGTCCATTCGTGATGTGTCTTTCTCAGGATCTACATCTAGGGGCACATAGTGTTCATCTGCTACTCATTGGTGTTGGTAATTTTAATGACTCAGTCAAGGTGATGTCCAGTTTCTTCACAAGATAGTTCTCTTTTTCCCCTTGCAGTTTATCAGCAGTGATTAAGACCATAAAAATACTCTCTTTTCAACTGGATTTTTCTCATGTAGATTTTGCCTTCACTGATTCTTGCTGAGTTACTTTTCTGGGTGTTCTCAGTTTCACATGATGGTCTTACACGTTAACTAAGCCTGTGAGCGTGCTTTGGTAATCATGATTGACAGTGAATTTTGTCTTCTGGGTTTCACTGAGATTTTTGTTTCCTTTGATGGTTTCACTGTGATTCTTTTTCTTTTTTTTTAAGTTTATTCATTTCGAGAGAGAGAGAGAGAGAGAGGGAGAGAGAGAATCCCAAGTAGGCTCTGCACTGTCAGCACGGAGCCTGACACAGGGCTTGAACCCACAAAACATGAGATCATGCCCAGAGCTGAAACCAAGAGTTGGACGCTTAACCGACTGAGCCACCCAGGCGCCCCTCAATGTGATTATTTCTTAACCAGATTTGAGTAGGATTGATTTTAACCATTCCTGTAGCAACAGTTTTTTTTTTTATTTTTTTATTACATCGTTGTTGGGTTGCTAATGGACTCATAGACTGAAAACTACAGATTGGTAATAAACACACCTAATGTATAATGAATTCATTGTTGTTCTCAGGGCTTGAAATATTAAATAGAATTAGCTGAGTAAGAATGTTCACCAAATATTATTTTACAAAAACCATACATTTTATTAGATCAGTAAGTTGCTTTCTCAGTAATGGTCAGTGTACTGTTAGCCACATGCTTAATCTTTTGACCGACTTGTGATTTTGAAATTATGAGGACACCAAGATTCAGTTGCTGACTTCTCCAATTTCCCCCACCCAGGGCAAGAGGATTATGACAGATTACGACCGCTGAGTTATCCACAAACAGATGTATTTCTAGTCTGTTTTTCAGTGGTCTCTCCATCCTCATTTGAAAATGTGAAGGAGAAGGTGAGTTGGTCAGATTTTCTTGCCCTGAAAAAGGTGGTCACAGAGCTTCTGTTGAGTTGTCCTGAATAGCTTTACAGGCTTGTGGATTAATGCAGGTGTATTTTTTAAAATACCTTTCCTCTAGTGGGTGCCTGAGATAACTCACCACTGTCCAAAGACTCCTTTCTTGCTTGTTGGGACCCAAATTGATCTCCGAGATGACCCCTCTACGATTGAGAAACTTGCCAAGAACAAACAGAAGCCTATCACTCCAGAGACTGCTGAAAAGCTGGCCCGTGACCTGAAGGCGGTCAAGTATGTGGAGTGTTCTGCACTCACACAGGTGAGGACTGTGCCATCCCCATGTTTGTGTACAGTTGGGTCGTTTCTGAGCATTAGGATTTGGGGGTTATTTTTAACAGTGGTCTGTGGTGCTTACGAAAGCTGCCCAGGTCCCATTAGGACCAGCTTCCCAGTGCATGTTCTTTTGCTAGAGGTTCTGTGTTTATGGAGAGAAGTGTTAATCTCTCAGTGAAACTCTTGTGTTGGTGAGCTTCCATACTGTACTGAATCATTTGTAGTGGTCAGGGATTGTGTTAAAAAAAACAATTTTATGGGAAAGTTTCAGGTTAGCACAGGCTTACAAGAGAGGATATGAATGATTTTTCCCCCCAGACACTTAAATTTTTATCTAAATGTATTTGATCTTTTCTCATCAATTCTGACCATTGACGCTACAGTTTCTGGGGTAATTCAACTGACATAGGGAATTAATCATAATAATTGAGACTTTCATGTCAGAGAAAGCTGCCTTGGCTATTTTTCAAGCATGTGTTGTAGGGAGTCTGTGCCTTTTTTTAGTTTATTTATTGATTTTGAGAGAGAGAGAAAGAACAAGTGGGGAAGAGGCAGAGAGAGAAGGAGAGAGAGAGAGAATTCCTAGCAGGCTCTGTGCCGCAAGCACAGAGCCTGATGAGGGGCTCCATCCTGCGAACCGTGAGATCGTGACCTGAGTCGAGACCAAGAGCCAAACACTTAACCAACTGAGCCACCCAGGCGCCCTAGTTGTTCTTAGATTTTTAGAGACATTCCTTCCTCATGTGGTCCTCTTGGTCCCTCTGCTGTCCCTGTCTGAATAATTTAACCGGAGCTACTCTCCTAGTTTGATGGGATGCATCAGATTCTGAGGGTGGGGAGTGGTGCTAGAATATTTAGAGTGAGAGTTGCAACTGGCCTGTGCGCTTTCGCCTTCTCCACCTTCGAGGTGTGCCTGACCAGCCGTCCCTTCTGAGTACTGTTCTGGAGGCAGAGGGAGAGGTTCCGGAGATAGCACAGAACTCTTAAATTCTGGTGGTGCTGGTGCTTTGACATCGGAACAGGGGGCAGATGTGTCTCATTAAAATAGGGCAGGGCTGGGGCGCCTGGGTGGCGCAGTCGGTTAAGCGTCCAACTTCGGCCAGGTCACGATCTCGCGGTCCGTGAGTTCGAGCCCCGCGTCGGGCTCTGGGCTGATGGCTCGGAGCCTGGAGCCTGTTTCCAATTCTGTGTCTCCCTCTCTCTCTGCCCCTCCCCCGTTCATGCTGTGTCTCTCTCTGTCCCAAAAATAAATAAACGTTGAAAAAAATAAATAAATAAAAAAAATAAAAAAATAAAATAGGGCAGGGCTGAAGAGGTTTATTGTAATTACGTTAAGTCCAGTTACGTTTATCATGCTTACATTTGTAGGTGATTGCACTTTCTGTCAAGTTTTTAAAAAAGCACTCTGTAACTGAGGCAAATGACCTATAGAATTGCTTATTATGCATGTACTTAGGCATTTAGTATGGATGGCCTGGACATAATTTAATAATCTCCAATTCAGTGCTAGTTTGGATATTTAAAGATAAAATTGTTACGCTTAGCTGGATGTTCCACAGGATAGTTTCAAGGTCAAAAATCATTCTCCCAAACCCAGTTTTTGTTGGCGGTTCAGTTCTTTTAAAGTCAGAAGATTTTACCTTCCCTCACACATGTAGCACCGACTGAAATTTAAAAAACAAAAAAAGCCTGATGCTTCTGTGTTTTGATACCATCAGAAAAGTGTGTGTGTGTGTGTGTGTGTGTGTGTGTGTGTGTGTGTGTGTGTTGGGCAAGGATCTATGTGGAACATGTGTGTCAGGTTATAACTAACTCTATATGCATCATTTGCATACCCCTGTTCTCTAAATATGGGTTGCTTTTGGGGAGAAATGGAGGTAAATAGACCATGTGGACTCCACTCTAGGTCACTGGTGAAGTTTATTTTAAAGAATTGGATGCTTGCATCTAAGATTTTTTACACTATGAACAAGTTTATATAATAAGTCTGCAGACAGTAGGAATTTGAAAAGGCCTTAGCAACTCCATTTTTCTTACCAGATTTTGAAGATTGGAGAAGTCAAAAGAGAAGATAGAAAATGGGGTGTCTGGTTGTGTTTGGGAGATAAGAGCTCAGGACTCCAGATTCTATTTGTTGGTTCCTCTAAGACTGACCGCTTCATGTAATCAGATAGTGGGTAGAGCAAAAATTAGTTTTGTTTTGTAGGGGGTTAGTTGATGTTGTCAATAAGCAAGAAAGGATTTGCTTTTTGGGAAGGGGTGCCCTAGTTTCTCATGGATGTCCTCCTCTTTTCTCCCTTATAAAATGCATTGCCCTTTCTACCCTCCCTGTTTCCTTTTGTATGTGACCGTCAGAGTTTGCTCTGAGACATGTAGAAAGAATTTCATAGGAACTTTACTTTTGTTGACTGTGCCTACTTTGTCAAAGACCTGGAAGAACACTTTTAAACCTCTTTGCTTCTTTTTAAGTACTTCATGTTCTCATTCTTTTTTTGTACCTCATGGAGTGTGTGGGTGCCAGTCCTCTGGGATGCCTAGGGTGGGGTGGAAATACCTGGGGTAGGCTGGGGCTGGCACTCGTTATTGGAGCTGTGTTCCGGGGTTTGGAGAAATTTTTATTTGGGATCGAACCGACTTAAAGAACACGTGAAACCTCTTTGGGTGGTAAACCTGTGGCTTCAGATTTAGGTGAGTTTAGGTGAGTCTAGACCTGGGCCCAAGGTACCAACCATTGCTGCTGAGTCACACTGTCACGTTGGAGTTCTGCCTGAGGTGTAAGTGTATTTCTGCGTCTTAATCCCTGTATATCTGAGAGTGTTCTTTGTTTTCACTCCATGCTTTATGCTCTGATACCCATGCAGACATCTTAAAGCATTGGACTGCTTGCTGAAACTCATTCTAGACCCCGTTCTTTGTTTTCCTATGACTTGGGTGGTGGTTACTTGCTCTAATAACATTACTGAATAACTGAGGTGTATGCTGTTTCTAGAGTCTGTTCTTTAAATTTCTCCCAGTTGGTCCTGTTGAACAATTAAATACGCTCTTTCTGAATGCCTGAACCTTACTGTTCTGGGAAACCGATTTACTCTGAAATCCTGATTAATCCCATCCAGATAAGTCATTGAATCTAGAAACATGTAGCATGCCTGTGCGTCTGCCGTTCGTGTCCTTCAGTTATTCAGGGGCTGAATTCACAGAAGCCTGAAACCGTATTAGATTTGGTTCCAGAATGTGTGTGTCCTTCTTCTCATTGGAAATACTGGGGAATTCTACAAGGCTTACTTATCCAGTGCGCCCCGTCTTTTGTTTACATATGCGTTTTTCTCTCCTGGCGGTTTCATTAACACGTTGTAAGATTCGATTTCAAAGCCTGATTGTTTTAGAAGTCAACATCTAACATTTCCATAAAAATTGCTTTCTTGCTTGGTTAACCTTTTTTAAAATGTAAGGAGTTCCCATTAGGTACCTACTCTCCTATTAATGGGCTTAAGGTTTAGCTTCGTGGCAGTTATTTTTCTCAAGGCGCATCGCTTCTGTGAATTCAGCCCACTTAATCCGGACTGCTGTTGTATCTGCTAGTCTTTCTAATCCTCTAACCTGGCTGCTATTCTCTCTCCTCCCCTCTGTCTTGTAGAGAGGTCTGAAGAATGTGTTTGATGAGGCTATCCTAGCTGCCCTCGAGCCTCCGGAAACTCAACCCAAAAGGAAGTGCTGTATATTCTAAACTGTTTTCTCCTTCCCCTCTTTGCTGCTGCTTCCTGTCCCACTACTGTAGAAAGAGCATTTAAAAGCAAAGGAATAAAACCATCCTGTTTGAAAGCCTCTGCGTCTTTGTACTCACCACCTGAGAGCAACCTCTGTATTAGTTTTTGATCAAGAATGCAATATCTTATAGAATATTTTTTGTGATTAGTAGTCAAGTTGGACTTGCTTAACTTTCTGCTTCTTGAGTTGCCTGATGCTTAGAGCTTTTTGGTTTGGAATACTATTGCAAAAGGGAACTTGGTCTGGCATTAAGAATGTTCTCTTGGAAAAAATAAGAAGAGTTTCAACACTTCTTAGTTCTAGATGGAGAAAATAACACAAACATCATTTTACTCTTATGATCAATTGTAACTGTACTTGCATGACAAACTATGGAAAAAGGGTGGCCTACTAGTAGAGTGTAACGGGGAAGGGAGGATTCTCGTCTGGTTTTCCTTTGTGCAGTGAAACTTTGTGTTGCTATCGCTTTGGCTGTCTGTGCTGTAGTGGAGTATTTGTCAGTCTGGGGTGGGAAAGGTATTAATGTATCTGCTACTGCTTTATGAAACATTTGTTACACTATCTTTTAAGAATAGCATCCATTTTAACAGTTGACTTAAGGTTTGTTAATGTTGAGATGTAAAGCTGCCACCTTTATATTTTCCTGCTTCTGATTTTATTGTTGTGAGGGAAACATACAATTGTGGTTGCCTTCAAATTTTGAAATTAAAAATATACAATTGTTTGTATAAATGCCTGATGAAGCTTTATTCCTGTTGCACCGACTGGTTCTAGTTTTACATATGTATCAGGTGCCCGCATTTTGCTTCCTTAGCCCCCTGGCTCTGTCCGATTGGTGGGATACAGGGAGTTCAGAGTGAATGTCTTTGACGCAGCCGCAGTAGCCGCTCTCCCTCCATCCCTGCCTGCGCCCTCCATGTAACAAGGATGCCGCTGCCCACTGCCCACTGCCAGCCCTCGCGGTCCTGGTCCATGCTCCGCTGTTTCATTGGGATGCAGAGCTGCTTCACTCGTGTTTATGTGAAATGTTGTAGCGGCACATTACACAGCTCACATTGAATGAGCAAATGACACATGTGGCTTGTTTGCTTCTCGTGACATACATTGGTCTGCAGAAAGCTTTCCCAAAGGACCACTGTCTCATTCATGAATATCTGCTCCTCTGCTCCTGAATTGCTGGATCCTTCCAGTGTCCTGCCTGGACAAAACTTGGTGAAGTGGGGGGGTTGTGTGGAGATTCAGGGTTGTTTTTAACGTTTCGTTCTTTGCCAACTCTCAGGGCTTTGAATGTTTGTAATTTGATCTTTGGCTTCAGTATACTGAAAATCAGACTGCCCCTTTTTTTTCTTTCTGCCCCTTTTCAGAAAGGCCTAAAGAATGTATTTGACGAAGCGATATTGGCTGCCCTGGAGCCTCCAGAACCGAAGAAGACCCGCAGGTGTGTGCTGCTATGAACGTCTCCAGAGCCCTTTCCGCACAGCTGGTGTCAGCGTCGTACTAAAAGCAATGTTAAATCAAACTAAAGATTGAAAATTAAAATTCGTTTTTGCAATAATGACAAATGCCCTGCACCTACCCACATGCACTCGTGTGAGACAAGGCCCGTAGGTATGGTCCCCGTCCCCCTCTCAGTACTAGTTAATTTGAGTAATTGTGTATTGTCAGAAAAGCGGTTAGTACTAGTTTTTGTTCTGTCGTTTCAAAAAAAAAAAAAAAAAATTTTTTTTTTTGTTTGTTTTTGTTTTTGTTTAAAAGCAAGGCATGCTTGTGATGACTCTGTAACAGACTAATTTGGGCTGTTGAAGCTGCTCCCGGGCTCCATCCACTCTGGAGAATAATCCGGGACATTTAGGGGTTTTGTTTTTGTTTTTGTTTGGTTTCGCTCTCCTCCTCTCCTGGGGGGGGGGGAGTGTGTGTGGGGTTTGTTTTTATTTAGTCATGTTTTTTAAATTCAGTAACCATTGGACAGCCCTTAAGGGGAGGAGGATGGATTGACTCCACATTCCACTTCCTAGATCTAGTTTAGAACACTTGTCCCCCACCTGGTGCTCTTAGGAAGGAGTATAGTAAATGCCTCATTTAATAACATACTCCTTTTTGAAAGTTGCCTTTCTCTCCACCCTTGAGTAGGTCTAGTACTTGATGAAACTCATGAAAGCGGGTGGAACCTGTCTTGCCCCTCCTCTTTTCTAGGATGCACTCTATATGTGACTGTGACTTTCAAGGAAATTTGTTTGCCATTTGCTGATTTTTTTTTTTTTGAAGTTAATTTCTAACTTCGTTCACTGATAAATGAAGAAAAGTATTGCACCTTTTGAAATACACCAAATGGATTGAGTACCTAATTAAAAAGCGTTTTTTTTCCCTGTCAGTCATTGTCTTACATGCTCAGCGTAGATGTCCAGCTTAATAGCGTATGATACGGTGTTCCTAGAACACAGCCGGAGACCTGGTAGATCGAGGAAGTGTGAGGGGTGGTGCTAGAAGACAGATGTCTGTGGAATGATGCACATCCTCTTTCAAGTTGGAGGATGGAGACAGACCTGCTTCATGAAGAAGCTGGGGGTGCGGGTGGGGGTGGGGAGGACATTTAACAACGTGGGGACCAGTCAGGGGAATCCCCTTATTTCTGTTTCGCATACGAGGAACCCTAGAGTAGCTAGTTAAGGCTCTCTAGTTTAGTAAAAAAAAAAAAAAAATCATGGAGTCTTTTGAAGACTCTTCATAAGTGTTAATGGGGATTTTATCTGCTTATTTTGGTTGCAGTTCCCAATTTTTAAAAATGTTTAGGTAATCTTCTCCGCCTTCCCCAAATCCTAATTCTTGTAGATTCATTAGTGTCGAACCAATGCTTTCACATGTCTCAATTCTTTGTACATGCGTTCTTTTCAGATGTATTAAACAAACAAAAAACCCTTCACAAGCCAGCCTGGGGGTTGTTCTTTTCCCTCCGCCTCTTTTTAGATACTTAGGAGCGGGAACTGGACTCTTAGTAACATCAGTTTCTAACAAATTATGGGATGAGATTTTAAAGTTTTATTTATTGATTTTTATGTACTTTTTAAAATTTCCTTTCTGGCCTTCAGGTCGGTGCCTTCTACCCTGAGTTTGGCAGGTGCCCTGCAGACTCCTTCTCTTTAAAACCAAGTGGGTGCATAGCGGTCCTTAGCGAGGGTGACGCTCAGGAAGCCCACCGCTCGTGTTGTCGGGAGGGAATGGCAGCACACCTGTCTCTCATCCATCGGTTAATTGGGAAGCAGCCAGTTTTCTTCCCAAGTTTTCCGTTTTAGTGCTTTTCAGACCTTGTTAACTTACTGGAGTGCACCTTGAGCAGTGAGTATTTAAAAGCCTTCCGTGTATTTCTAGAATGCGGCCGAGTTGGAGAACCCATTGCTCCTAGATTGTTACCCAAATTGCTTCCATCAGATTCCAGATTCTGTACTGTGAATCTTTTTTTTCTTTTTTTAATTTTTAATGTTTATTTTTGAGAGAGAGAGACAGAGACAGAGAGAGACAGTGCAAGTGAGGGAGGGGCAGAGAGAGAGGGAGACACAGAATCCGAAGCAGGCTCCAGGCTCTGAGCTGTCAGCACAGGGCCCGGCATGGGGCTCAAACTCAAGAACTGTGAGATCACGACCACGACCTGAGCCAAAGTCGGACGCTCAACCGACTGAGCCACCCAGGCGCCCCTGTACTGTGAATCTTAACATGGGACACATTTTCTTTAAGTGATAGGAATGATTCATTACTTTAAGGGCGTTCTGCTGAACTGTATGAGAATCTTCGAAACTAAGAGCTGTTAGTAAAGTGTAACCTCGTTTTGGTAGTCTTCTGAGTGAAGTCATGTTTGGCTTGATTCCATGCTCTTCTGGAGCTAGGCTGGGTGGGTTGGCTGGGAAGGGCTAGGAAGAGGCAGGTCTAAGCTTTACTGTTTTAACCAACGTGTCGTACTTATTCCATGTCGACCATGCTAGGGAGAGGTACCTGGATCGTGCTCTGAGACCCTAGGGAGCAGGGACTGTATGTCTCTTGTTCTTAGTACAGTGGCATATAGATCCATCCTGAAAATTGCTGTATCCCTGGCTGAGAGTAGTGTTTGACATATGAGAGATGGCTTTAAAAATAGTCATTGGATCGTACACGATTTCATAAATGAATGAGTGAATGAAATAAAGCAGGTCATGTAGTTGTGTCAGTGAAATATCTGTACATCAAAACAAAAAAGACAAGGGGTTTGATTGAAGCTAACACGGTTTCTAATTAAATATTTTTAATTTGGCTTTCACGTATCAGAAGAAATGGGTGGCAAAGGATGAAGCTAACATTGTTTTCTATTTAAATACTGTTTTCTGTTTGACTTGTCTGCTATGTTATCTTTGGTGACTGACACTACTCAGGGAGTGTGATCTAGGTGTTGGAAAAGGGTTATCTAAAACAGTCCTTTGCAGGGGCGCCTGGGTGGCGCAGTCGGTTAAGCGTCCGACTTCAACCAGGTCACGATCTCACGGTCCGTGAGTTCGAGCCCCGCGTCGGGCTCTGGGCTGATGGCTCGGAGCCTGGAGCCTGTTTCCGATTCTGTGTCTCCCTCTCTCTCTGCCCCTCGCCCGTTCATGCTCTGTCTCTCTCTGTCCCAAAAATAAATAAACGTTGAAAAAAAAAGTTAAAAAAAAAAAAATAAAACAGTCCTTTGCAGACTTAGCTTGTGGCAAGGTGTACAATATTTAGGCCAGTAGGACACTAATACATCACTGGTTTTCCAAAATATCAGTATTTTACCAAAGGTGTCAGAAATATGTTCTGTAGTTTGTTAAAATTGTACCCTTTGAGCTGGATTTTATGCCAGGAAGGGTACATATTCCAAGGGCGAAGAGAGGATAATGGTATGAAAGCACCAATTACAATATTTCCTTTATTCTAAGATGTATTTGTCCTCATTTTTTTTTAAGATTTTAAAATTTTACTTATTTGTTTGCTTATTTATTTTGAGAGAGAGCGTGAGTAGGGCAGGGGGAGAAAGAAAGGAAGAGAGAGAGAGAGAGAAGGAGAGAGGGAGAGAGAGAGAGAGAGAGATTGACAGAGAGAGAGAATGAATCCCAAGCAGGCTCTGCACTGTCAACGTGGAGCCTGACATGGGGCTCAAATTCAGGAAACAGATCATGATCTGAGGCAAAAGCGAGAGTCAGAGACTTAACTGACTGAGCCACCCGGGCGCCACCCCCCCTTATTTTAAAAGTTTATTTTGAGAGAGAGAGGGAGTGTGAGTGTGCTTGGGGAAGGGGCAGAGAGGGAGGGAGAATCCCAGGTAGGCTCCATGCTGTCAGCAAGGAGCCCAGCTCGGGGCTCAGTTTCACAGATCATGAGATCATGACCTGAGCTGAAATCAAGAGGCAGACACTTAACCAGCTGAGCCATCTAGACGCCCCTGTTTAAATACTTCTAAGTTTACATAGTATATTACTTTGAGTTTTTTCCAAAGTGCCCTACCTTTTTTTTGAAGCTCCATTTTATTAGCTTTTGCTAATGTTACATTACAAACCACCATAATTCTCTGGCTTACCACAAATTTATTTTTCTCTCACTAATGGGTCAATTGGGCTTTGCCTCCAGGCTTCATTTTCAGATTGGGCTCCGCTCGGTCCATGCCTCTCCTGCTGGAGCCTGACTCCAGAGAGCAGTAGCTGCCTAAGAGTGCACTTCTCATGGTGAGCCTGGTAAGCGAAAGGGGTGCAAGGTCAAACACATTTAATTTCTCATACTTCATTGTGCAGATGATTCAATATAGCCAGACCCAAAGTCGGTGCCACTTACTCATTTATTGATATATTCATTCATTTATATATAGTAAATCCAAAAATAGTTTTTTAAAAAGCACTTAATAAGGTTTTGAATATATAGCAGAGAATAAAATAGATGTGGGATCCTGACTTCTAGTTGGAATTTTCCTTGCAAATTTGATAGCTGCCTTTTTTTGTTTGTTTGTTTGGAGTAAGCATTTGGTCTCATTGCCCTTAGAATGGCTATCAAGACCGTGAAAGTGTTGCCTGTGTGCGTGTGCCCATGGCACACATCCATCAGAGAAGTTACTGGGGCGGGACAGCCCTAAGCCAGCGTGCCCTTCAGCAGGTAGCTCCCACTCTCCTGGCCTCTTAACTGTAAGATAATTATGCATTTAGTTATCATTGGGGTCTCAGATGCAAGTCAGGTGCCTGGTTGGTCAACAATAAATGGAAAACTTAAACAAAATTCCTCTGAGATTCTGAAACTAGTTATGGAGTGGGGGTCTGGGGGTCAATTTAGTTTCTGAAAGCTTCCAATGTAGAACCTTGGTTAGATACGTTAGGACCAGTGCACACCTCAGAGGTTTTTAACTCTGGCTGTGTGCATGTCAGTTAGGGAGCTAATTTTTTAAGGGAAAATAATGCCTGGAGCCATTTTAGGTGATCTCTGGAGATAGGGTCACTTAAATTTATTACTTAACATTTTTCAAATTATATTTTGAGATACATATATTTGAAATATATATTTCAGATTATAATTCTTCAAATTATATATTTTAAATCTCACCAGATTGTTTTAGTGTTCCACCAGGTTTGAGAACGATGTCACTAAATGATCTCTTAAAGTTTATTTATATCTGACATGAATTTTAGAGTAATTTTGGGCCACAGTCCTTTACAGTTTTATCTGTTCTTTGAGGAAAGAGATTTTCCAAACTTGTGGTTCCAACTAGCATTCAGTTCTTGACTCCTTAACCAGAAAAGAACGTGTACAGAGTTCATAGTTATGTAATTTATTGGTGAACTGGCACTGAGATAGTTTGGGGCAGACTCCTAAGTAATTAAAGTTCTTAGGCAGCAATGTGAGAGCAGAGATTTGAGTTGTAGAGATCAGCTAGGGTTTTCTAACTCAAAGCTAGAATGTAGGTGGCTGTATTTCCCTGATAATTTCAAGGCAAGTATAGTTTCACTGGAGACTGATATCTTTTTTGTTCTCCTCAGGAATATTCCAGTTCATCTGTAGAGAGTACACTAGATCATATTCCAGATACTGTAAAGTTAGTACTAGAAATGAGTATTGAAGTTATTGATGGAATTTGAAGTTATTCCAGCAGATGAAATTGGACTTCCAGGAGATAAATAAAGTCTCTTGTTAACTTCAAAACAAGGTCAGGGTCACTTTGTTCCTCTGCTCTGCTGCAGATGTCCCATGTCCGACCCCCTTCCGCCTTATTTGTCAGACCCTTTTTTGGGGCAGGATGTGAGTCAGTGTTAATGTGGCTTTATTTCTCCCTTTTGTCAGTGAATGCTTAGTTCCGGGTGGATTGATCTAAGTCTGAGTGATTTAACAGGTAGCTGCTCCCTTTGTATTCTGGCTTGATCTTAATGAATTGACATTTGATTGGGTAAGGTCTTAGTTTCTGTGTCTTGTTTTGTGGTTGGGCTGTAAATTGGTGCAGTCACATGGCCCGTCTTCTCAGGGGCAGGAACTAGAGAGGGGTTTGCAGATACTCAGTGCTTTTGAGCCATAAGCACTGTTCTTTTTTAACTCCCTGATCATAGCCTCAAAAAGGTGGGAGAGCTTGTGCCGGTACCATGCCATCTATTTTTTGCGTCTTATAAACAACTTGCTGGGAGCCGCTTTTAACTCTGGCCCCTCTGCTCTTCCCAGGAGCTTCCAGGATTGTTGAGATTACCTCCACCTAGTGGTGGACTTAAGTTAAAACTCTAGTGGTTGAATCTACAGTACATTCTACCTAATACCTGGACACTACTCATTATGGAGTTTTGATAGATGGCGGAAGAGTGGGGAGGTGGTGGTGAGGCAGAAGGCAGTAGGGGCCTAGTCAGTACACTGATGGACTTGGGGAGACTCTGAATTATCTAGGAGAGATACTTAATCAGAATTTGAAATTCAGGATGGTGTCTAC